GGGAAAAAAAAGAGTATCTTGTGCATTTTGAGCATATTCTTTCTTGGCATGGAAGTGTAGCTCTACCACTTGCAACAGAAGATGATGCTTTACTGATCCAAGGCATGAATTTCAGTGCCAAAGTTTTAAAGATCATCCACACAGACAAATTAATGTCAGCTGATCTTTAGTAACCATCAGTAGGATAAGTACAATGGAATGTGAGTTAGTTCAGACCTTTATTGCGTGTTTTTAACACAAGATTCTTCAGTGCCAGCCCCTTAGATACAGATAGTTACGAGCTGTAGTGTATGCAGTTTATCTCTAGCTCTGTTCTCACAGGAGTTGAGAGCTCTCTGGTACAGGTCCAAAAGTATGACTTGGATCATGCTTGGATGACGGATCCAAAAGTATGACTCTATGGAAGAGCTGGATACAAGATACCGAAGAATGTAGTGCAGTGCATCTCCAGAAGCAGCTTCTCTTGGCATGTCTAGTCTGTAACCTAAGCAGAAGCATAAAGCACTTCCTTTTTCAAATGAAGATTAAGAACTCCAGGGGAAGACAGGTTTCTTTTGCTTGTCCTACCAGTCCGTGCAAGGAGATGTGAATGAGTTATATGCTCAAGGTTTGAAGACTTCTTGATGTGCCACCTGTTAAAAGGGAGTCCCTAGGTGTAACATAGAATCCATGCACTTTATTTTCAGTTATTGAGTGGTGTGGAGGGGGAAACCCAAAAAAAGACAGTTAAAAATTATTAAGAATTGTTTTGCTTGACTGTTTTGCTACAGCCATATAAAATTCTCAGTCTCCTCTTAGTTTCCTTTATGTTTTGATGCAGCTGGTCAAACAGGGACTGAGTGTATTTGCCCCATAGTGTGAGAATATAACAGAGTTCAGTTTAAAGTAGCTTCCTAGGAGCAATCTAACTATGGCAACAGATCCACAACTATTTTGCCCCTCTGTAAAGTTGGAATGAATTTAAGGAAATAAAATTTAACATAAGAAGGTTTTGTGGTGGTTTTTTTTGTTGGTTTGTTTTTTTTGAAGTTGACACTGTCAGGAAATAGCATAAATCCTTCTTCATCACAGCTGTGTACATTCTCTTCACTGTCTCCTCAAGTCAAACCTGGAAGAACTGTGTTTTCTGAAGCCACATGACTATTGGTAGAATATTTCTTTTGCACGTGCCAAGGGCTATATCCAGGAAATGCATTGGAAGGTGTTTCTTAAACTAGACTCACTGGCCTTAGTAGAAGATCTGAAGTAAGAAACTGGCTGTAGTGTAGGGCTATATCCAGGAAATGCATTGGAAGGTATTTCTTAAACTAGACTCAATGGCCTTAGTAGAAGATCTGAAGTGAGTAAGAAACTGGCTGTAGTGAATGTGACAATAGTGTTGTGTTTGGGGAAAAAAAGCTACTATTCAGTTTCCTTGGGTATCTGTATTAAGAGCAATCTTGCTCAGCTTAGATGAAAATGAAATAAAACATTCTGTTAGCACAAACCCAATTCTTTAGGAGACATAGTCTGTACAAAAGGTATTAAGAGCAATCTTGCTCAGCTTAGATGAAAATGAAATAAAACATTCTGTTGTTAGCACAAATCCAATTCTTTAGGAGACGTAGTCTGTACAAAGCAAGGTTAGAACATGGTGCAGTAAGGACTTGATTACCCCCAAATAATAGATAAAGTATGAACTTAAGGTGTGGCTCTTAAAAGAGAATAAAAAAAGACATGGTTATGAGCTTGAACCCTAAAAACAAGTTTCTACTGTAATTTGAGAGCTGCTCTGCTGGAAGCGATTGTGGAGGACAGCATGGATGGATTCAGTGATCAGAGAATAATGCTAAGTTACTAGCGTGATTCTTAAGTAAATATCTTGAAGTATATTCAGTACAGAAAGGAAGGCTTAGTGCTGTCACATATAGCCATAAGGTCTTACCTGGAGTTCTGCATACAAGCCCAGTCATAATTGAGAAACATGAACTGAAGCTAGAACAAGTACAAACAAGTTGTATTTTATTTTTTTTTCCAGTACAAAACAAAGCCTGAAACAAAGAGCAGTATGAGGCGTAAGAACCTAGGGCTACAGAGTGACAGGACAGTGGAGTGTATTCTTCAGCTGTTATGGACAACACATTCCTTTTCCCCAACTTAACTGAGTTCCACTCTAAAAATAGTTAGGATGCTGGCTATTGCTACTCCCTTTCAAAAGCTATTCAGAAAGCAGGGGTAGAAACACTTCAGGATCACAAGTTTCGCTAAGTAGAAATTGAGACTGAATTAATATTTCTGAGTTGGCTTATTGACTTGTTTTGGTCAGTGTGAAGGACTTCTAATTTACAAATTCTCTTTTGTTAAGCTCCTAAAGCTTTCATTGATTAGAATTTACTTATTTCTTTTTTGATCACATTAAAATTATGTGGATTTTCAGTAATAAACTACTTTATAAAATATTTACAGAACTGTTCTCAGTTCTGACAGAGGTAGAGGGATAATTATACCAAGATATATAGTTACACCTTATTGCTGAGTTGCAAAGTAGCTGTCATCTAAAACTAGAAGTAAAACATTTGACAGTTCGCATTGCTGGACAGCTTTCATCTGCCCTCATAAGGCACCCCTCAGATAACTGAGGTATTTTAAGTACAGACCCACATTTTCATTGTAACCTTGCTATCACAGATAGAATAGAGGTCACCTATTTTATTTGAAGATACAAACAAGGCTGCAGTAATTTTGGTTCTTGTCTTAAATAAAATTAAACCAAAAATGGGCTTAACTATGTCTTTATTTTACACAGGGGCAGCGTTATTTGGGTCTGACAGATTTTTTTTTTAAAAGAATATTACTGACCTCTGTATGTGATACCTAATTTTCAAAAGTGGATGCCTAAAATTAGATGTCTCTGTCTGTAGCCTTGGTCTAGTTTTCAGAGGAACTGGAAACTTAGAGAAGGACTCTTTCAGCACTGGCACAGCGTTTTCTGATACTGATAGGACAAGCTGTGTCAGAGTACTCTGAAAACCCAAGGCTATTCTGAGGTTCTTCTTTTTTTCTAGATTCAAAAATATACTAGCATATTTTTTTAACTTAATCTTAGTAAAATTCTTTATTAATATAATTATTTACTTGAAAAATTCTTCATCGAGATCCTTTCCTCTTTGAAGCGTCCTCTGGAAAGTTGGAGCAGTGAATGCTATTCAGGTTAAATATTTGAATTCAGAGATCTAATTATGAATGATTTCCAGCATCTGTATTTCTGATGTCCCTGCCTGTGCAGAGAACGAGCTCAGCTGCCACTTTCAGACCCGTGTCACCGTACTGGGGTACATCCATGGGGCAGTTGCAGGCACCCAAATGTCATGCTTAGATGCTTGGTTATGCTTTGGTGTTTTATCTAAAATGTCTGACTGCAGAGAGAGAAATAACTCTCCCGGTTTATTTTTATTGGTATTTCTTAAAGTCTGTCTTTCCTGATTGACACGTTTTCCCCCTGCGACTCTGCTGATTTGGATGTAATACGCTTATTTAGATGTAAATTTTTAAGAGCTGTCATCACTACCTTTGCTTTCACTTTTTCCTTTCACTTAGGGTAGCTTTTTTGCTCCTGATTTTTTTTTTAAAGACTGTGACTTCTTAAAAGCAACAAATCTTTAAATGATCAACTAAAGAAATACTTCATCTGTGCTTCTGAAGTAATTTTGCAATCTCAGGTCACAAAGGAGATTAAAGCTCAGATTGAAATAGAACACATTTAACAAAACCACACAACATTTAGCAAGAACACAGAAGCAAAAACCTTATACAGGTAATAGGGCAAACTCACTTTAATAATAAAAACTGCTGCAACAGTTTTGCCTGATTCAGTTGGTTAACTGTGGTGTGCTAAGGCTTATTAGGTGGGGGCTAGTATCGTGCACAAGCAAAAGAATCTTAATGATTTGGGCCAGTTCAAGTAGCTTCTCAGCCCGTGGTGTGTGGATAACCTGGCTCCTGGCAGCTGAACAGGCAGAAGAGGCTGTTGTCACACAGCGCTGGTCACTGTGACTGCTCAGGTGCTAGTGATGGCTAATGGCCATGGCATCATGGAATGGCATGCTGCTTCCTTGTTCGTTTCTGACTCATGTTTTTAATAGGTATTAACAGAGAAGATTAAGGAAGCGGTGTTGAGCCACTGATGCCTCATTCAGGAGCAAATATTTTCTTCTTTGATTTTGTTTCTCACAAAGGCTTGGAGGGTTAAAGCTGCCTTGCTGCTTGATTCTTTTCCTCCAAGATTGCCAACGTGTTTGTAGGTGTTCTGGTCATCTTGCCTTATTGTATTGAAATTCTAGTGTCAAATCTTAGAAACAGCTTGATGGAGGTCGCGCTGGGCTCAAGGTACATCTGACCTAAATAAGCTGCCTACCTTATGAGGAGGGAATTTGTGCCCTTGGCTTCTGAGCATAAAGGAAATGTCATGTTGTCTCATGCTTGGACATCCACTGTAGGCAGATGAGACTCTCTGTGTGTATTGTTGCCTGCAATTTATTTGATTCAAGACACGATGGAAACAGTAAACAGAACTCCCTTCTTTCCATATACGTTTTAGCTTACTCCAAAATAGATCTTGAAGAGCACATTGCGTAAAATACAATTACCCTTAGGTTACACGTGAAGGGGATACGCAGTGTGGTAACTTCTACAATTCAAGTGCATTCAAACTTCAGAAAACACCCCAGACCACCCCACCCTTCCTCAAGCAAAAAATTGCACTGTAAATAATTCTTAAAGTTTCTTAATTTTAGAGTAAAACTTGCTGGCCATATAATTGATCCAATACCTGTTATTCTAGTTAAACTGTTCTTATTGGTTTAACTTTCTATTAATATGATATAAAACATAACTGTTGACGTTTACATGGAATTTTGTTGATCTGAATTAAATTTTAAATTGTTGATGCTGGATTTTCTGTTTATTCTTATTATAATTCAGCCATTTCTTCACAACCTAATACATGCAATTTTTTTTTCCAGATTTGTTTTCTCCTATTTGCTGTTCTCTACATAGTTTCCTACTTCATAATCACAAGATACAAAAGGAAAGCAGGTAAGCATAGACTTTTTTAATATATTAAATAGATATATTTTGGTTTTCAACTGAGTGGGTGAAAGGAAAGCAGAAGAACTAGATCTCTCTGACCAAAAGTGTTTCTCAGGCTGCTGGTCTGTGGTGGCCTGGACTGATCTGATCTTATATGCTGCTGTCTTGTCCTTTATCTCTTCCCTTTGTCCCTGAGCCATGAGTTTCCATCACTTCCCTGGTGCCTGTTTGCTACTTCTCAGACCCTTCAGGGTGCCTTCTAATATCTCTGACCGAGGGAGGGAGTGCACTGGAGCATCTCAGGGAAAGGGTCAGTGAGTGCCATAGAGGGCTCTCTGCAATTGAGTGAGGCTGGGTGGCTGTTACAGAGGTGGGGTGGATGGCCACAATCAGGTGATCTTTTGTGGCTCTGAGGCAGCCTGAAATTTCTCTGTTTTGAGAGTGAAGAAAGGAGAGAATTTCAAATAGATGCTTCTGCCTCCCTTGCCTTTAGATCTTGTTCTTCTTTAATGTCAGTTTTTCCAGAATAAGTATTTTCAGGCTGTGTTCTAGCACCAAAATCACGTTCTGAGGTTTAGCTGGTAAAGTGAAAGGGTTGCCAGTAATACAAAAGGGAAGTAGTGGATTTCTTATAAACATCCTGGCTTTGTTCATGTACAGTTATTTCAGTGTTCTTAACTTGTTCTTTATGACCTCACCACTCAAGTCTTATTCCTTTAGATAATTCTGTATTTTTTTTCCTTTAGAAATACTGTCTTTCTGAAAATTGTCTGTAGGAACCCCTGTCATTTTCTTCTAGAGACAAATAGCATAAAAATCTGTATAAAATGACAGAATCTTTGACCCTTGACAGCTTATCTGGGGCCTTGGTGCTTGGTAATAGTCGGTCATGCTGGAGAAGCATTCTTATGCGTGATGATCTTGGCACTTTGAACTTTAATGGAAACTGTTTATTGAACTGTAGTGACCTGTGTTATGATGGAGCTGCTTGAATAGATGGATTCATGTTTAAAAAAAGTGAACTTTTCAGGAAATGTAATACCTTTAAAAAAAAGTGCACTTCTTTAAACATAAAAAATAAACAAGTAAGACAGATACTATCTTCTGATCCTGATAAGTATTTTGGATGCTACAAAGCAGCTGCCATTTGGAGATAGGGAAGAACAGGGATGGAGAGCTGGTTTGGCAAACACTATTGGATGTAAAGACACTTTTATTACCTTTTTGGCAGTTGATCTCATCAGCTAGTGAGAGGGACTACTCTGCAGCTGTCCTGACTTTATGAAAGCTTTGTGAGTGTTTAGTTAGAGGCAAACTTTGTAGCCTACTCTAGGATCTTCCTGATGGGACATGTTTGAAGAGTTAACGCTTGGAATTCTTTCAGGAAAAATTGTTTGCTGTCCTACAACAAGCTTTTTAGCCAAAATGTTTCATAAGGGACCTTGACTTGGTCTCTGTCAAAACCATGAGATTCCCATCAAAAAACCAGAAACAATAACCCAATGTACTTTCACAGAAGAATTTCACCATAGCATGCTGTTAGTGGCTACATGCTCATTTCAAGTGTGTGTATGACTCTTAAGAACTTGAAAGACCTGGCTGTATTTATTCTTAGAATTCAAAATAAATTTGAGTTACCTCTCATGAGAAACTGGGGAGACTTAAAGCTGACTCTAAAATTACTTCAAATGTAGAAATGCATACATTTGTGTACAAATGTGTATAGAGAAGCATATAAAGAATAAATGAAGGCTATATTAGAGTTTGACCTCTGATTTAACTGTTGATAATATTTCAAAAAGTTGAAATATTAATTGAGGAATAAATGAACAAAAATGACCTAAAATGTGGGATACCAGAAGGGAAGCCATGGTATCTTTAATCCAAAACAAGAACTAACAGCAACTCTTCTTTCCCCCTCCCTCAAATCCCCAGGAGTCGGGAAGAGGGATGAGTAAGGGGAAGGAACTGTGTGGTCATCATGACTGTTCTGGGTATGCCTTCTTGTTTTAAAAATTACATTAATACTGAAAGTGAAACATCTATTCAGGGATTTATAGCAGTGGACCCTGAGACTTTCCTGTAGCTTGCCTGCTCTCCATGGTTGCAGAGATGCCCAAAGGGGCAGTTCCTAACAGCAGCCGTAGTAGTAGTAGTTTGAAAGCTTGTTTGCCGTAGGGTCCCCTGGAAGATGTTTCCAAGAATTTTTGATCTGCATGTTTAAGTGAAATAACTCCATAGTTATATTGATTGAGAAGAGTTTAAGATTAGCAAAAAAAACCCATTATTTTTTGGTAGGAATGTTTTTAAAATATAGATGCTAATACAATTAAATTTAGAATTACTAAAACAATGTAACTTAAAATTATTCCTATGTATATACATTTTGGCCTGAAAAAAGATGACTTAAGTATTGAATATAACCTGCTGTAATTTAAATTTCAGATGAGCAAGAGGATGAAGATGCCATCGTTAACAGAATATCGTATGTATAGCTCTTTTTTGCAGAACTCTCTTTTCCTGAATATATTGTTATGGTAGGAATTTTGTATGCTTCCAAATAAATAACAGTCCAATTTAAATGTGATAGTAAAACAGATTGCTAGAGGGCAGAGGGAAAAAGATTTGATCAAATAGTATCTTGTAATATGGAAGAGGCAAGATAGTTTGATCCAGGGCTTTTTTCACCTGTGGCTTTCCTGGTAAGCACACAGAATATTGCATGAGGACCTGATGCCAGAGGTGGGATTCAGTGCAAGACCTGCACCTATATTTAGGTCTCTAAGATGTAGGTGGTTTAAGTTCGAGCTGCAGTTGATGGAAGCCCTGTGAAGGGAGGCAATGGATCCTGGAAAAAAGTTAGCTCACCCCAAAGTAGACATCTGTATTAGATCATCTTAAAAAAAGCTTAAAAAAGAATAACAACTGGAAGACGAGTACTTGCCAGACCTGCTGGTCTGCCAGCAGCTCTTTCTCCTCTTCCTTTGTAAAGCTAGATATTAATCTCTGCTACTTAAATATGTCTGAAGATTTACAGACCATCTGTGAGCTGTTGCTGCCCTCTCGGTTACATGATTTGCTAAACTATGTGGACTTGCTGCTTGCAAGTATTACAGTGTTGTTAGTTCTTCCATGGTGGTAGTGTCATCCTCTTGGAAGGAGAGCTCACTGAGTGTTTTATTGATTTGTCTTGTACCCTGGGAAAGAGCCGAGTACATTGCAAGCTGTTCACTTTTAGTTGTGCATTTGTGGCAAGCTTGAAAGATGTACAAGGGTGATGTAAATCTTAGACGCGCTTCTCCCAGTATTGTCTGATACCAATACTTTTTGTGAATTTGAAATACTTACTTGCCACAAGGTCTACTTCAGATCTAGAGAAAAGTACTTCTAAATGCTATGAAGCTCTTCCTTCTCAAGTTGGGGACAATCTCTCCTGTGCCACTACAGTGAGGGCTCCTCTAGATTGAATGATTTTTCATAGCAGCTGTGGTTTTAGCCTGGTTCTGAATTTTTTGACATTCAAAGGGTAAAATTAGTACAATTTGTCTTTTTAACTGTTATCCCCCCTGCATCTATTTTCTAGTTTAGTTTTAAAATGCAACAAATATAAATTATAAATACTGTGTTATTCATGCAAAAACAGTGTAAGACAAGATTAGCACTTCCATCAGAGTAATAGCTTTTCGTTAAGTGTTGTTTTAAATATAAAATGCTGCTTGTTCATTTAACCTGAGCTGTCTTGTTCCTTAAGTGTGCATGTTATTTTCCAAAATGCAGTAACTGTCAAACATACACGGATTGATATTTCTTTGCATAGTATAATTGTCAGGACTTGGGTTGGGGGAGAAAAGAAAGCCAAACTGCTGTAGCACCTCGAAAGGCTGTAGTGTGTTAAGTTTCACAATTCTGGCTTAGAGTACTTAAACATCCTTAAATGAAAAGCAAAAATACCTCAGAAACCACCAATAAAAACATATAAGAATTTTTTTTTTTAATAAAACTAGTCAACCATACTTTCTTCTGTAAGGTAAGTATTGTGAGAGTGAAAAATGGATTTGTAGACTACTAAGGAAAAGTAAGATATTACTTATTGATATTCCTGTTGTAGGGATGATCTATTGAAGTTTATCTTTTTTCGTCGTGGAATTTTGAGAATTATTTCTAATTTTATTCTAGCATTGGATTAGTTCTGTAAAAATGTTTTTTGTTGGTCTTATTTTTTTGAAGAACACAATGCCACAAGATGGCATTTCATGTATTGTATTTGGGATCTAAAAAGAGTAAGCTTAAGTATTTTGTATAATTCTGATAATTCCTCTGTATTGACTTTATAGCTATCGGAAAACCCCAAGCTATGAAATAATATTAGATAACTACTTTGCGAAAGAAAAGCGATTTTTTGTTGTTGTTGTTGTTTGGTATTAAAATACTTGCTTATGGTATAATTGTACTTACTTTTTAGACATTAAAAAGCTGCTATGCTTTTAAAAATTTTAGTAAGAATATAGAAATGGATTTTTTTTATTCTGAGTGGGTATGTGGGAAATGAAAACTAAAATAGGAGGCTTATGAAAAGATATTCCATGAGTTCCAGTTTAACCTGTGTATGACATTGGAATTCAATGTGTGCAAGTCCAAAGAGAAGAGTTGTAGTAGTTGTTAAAAGCTAATTATATTTGCTGGATTCTGTAAACTTCTTGGTATTTGAAATGACCTTTTTGGAGGTTAAATATTAGAAGTCACAGTTTCTCCTTCCCCTTTACAGTGTAAGAATATGTTGCCTTCAGACACTGATTAATAGGTAGGCTAACTACTTTTTTCCCCATGTTCAGAGCATGTTGGTGGTAACAGTGGTACATTTCTTTAAATTTCAGGCTGTTCTTGAGCACCTTCACTCTAGCAGTTTCAGCTGGTGCAGTCCTGCTTCTACCTTTCTCAATAATCAGCAATGAGATCCTGCTTTCTTTTCCGCAAAACTACTATATTCAGTGGTTAAATGGCTCACTAATTCATGGTTAGTACTCGGCATAATATAATTAAAATGGATGTCTTCATTATACGTGAACAGATATGTTTTTATTTTCAACCTAATAACTCCATTTCATTTAAGAATCTAATTGAATTTAGTTGTTAATATGTTACTGGCTAGATTGTTTGCTGCTGTGTGATATAGCACAAAAGTATGTCTTAACTGTTCTGTTGGGTTTTCTTTTTTAAAGAATTATGCAGTCTTGATGGAATTAAACCAAATTCACTGCTTTGATTATTAACGTAGAGTAAGAACTACTAGAAGCTAACCTGAATACATACTGTTGAAACATCTTCCTCATGTATTAATGCGAGATTTATAACCCTATCTCTTTATGATAATGCGTATAAATTTATTCTCAAAATAAAAACTTGTTTTAAGAAACTTGCTGGCTATGAGCAGTTGGGATTAGGTAAGTCCAGCTGTTAGTGATTTATTTGTAAACAAGGAAAATTACATAATGTAATTGTATTGAGTATGGTAAAAAGACAAAAGAAAAACTATTTCAAGGAAAACAAGATGCAAGGAAAGAATATTACTTGTTCTTGTAGCCTTGATGTCTGGCAGAGTGAGTTTTGCATGTTTTCCAGTATTGGTTAACATGCTTACTGCTATGAAGTATAGTGGATGCTAATATTTGAAAATAATTTTGACACTTCTATGTGTCTAAGGGAAAAAACTGGTGTAAACAGGACATTCTTTAGTAGCTTTGGCTGGAGAAACGAGCTAGTTCTTTCATGATGTGAGACAATTTATGTAATCTGGAACAAATAATTTACAAGTTAACAGTGCTGTCCTTTTTCTGCTCTAGTGAAGAGATAGTAATTGGGCTTTGGAGGATTTTTCACTGAAAAATGTGTGCTTTTTGCCAAATGTCCAATAATACTCCAAGACAGCGAACTATGAATTGCCAGATCCCTAACTTGCAAGGGTGGTTTGTTGGTTTTCTTTTTTGTAAGATTAAAGAAGTTTACAACAAATTAAATGGGAATAGGTGAAGACAGGAAATAATGCGTATTGTCTGTCATCTCTGTGAAACTAGTTAAGTATTTTTTGTGTTATCTGGACAGTAAAAGAATTTGTTTTTTCTAACCCATGAATGAGGAGAAGCTGGTGGTCAATGGTCACCCTGACTGTGGTGACAGTAGTTTAAGATTTGAGAAAAGTGAGGAAGCAAAATAGTAGAATAAAGCCATTAGATTTTTGAGGGAATAGGCTTTGTCCTCTTTAGGAAGTGTGTATGTGGGACCTTACTGGAGAGTGCCCTGAAGGCAAAAGAAACCAGGAGAGATGCTTACTTTCAAGGATAACCTTCAAGTCAAGCACCATAATGTGCACCTCGGTGTGCAAGAAAATGAACAGGTGTAATAGGAGGTTGACTTGGCTTAATGGGGAACTCCTGAGCTCACAACCAAAAAGAAGTAGGGATGAACTGCCCAGGATGGGTATAGAAATATCACCTGGGTTAATATCCTGGTGTGACATCAGGAAATCCAGGGCACAGCTGGATTTGCAATTGATGAGGTGTTTGTCTAGAGACAGCTCCTGCTCAGGAGTGTGCAGTGGGAGGCAAGAAGGAATGTTTGCAGGATGTAAAGTGACAAGGGGAAGTTTGCTAATTTTGTATGTCTCCTACTTGGAAGAAAAAAACCCAGGTAATTCTCATTTTTCACGCAGATTTGGCTGCTCAGACATATTTATATTCTTCCAGACATGGGAAAAAAAAAAGGAAAATAACCCTTCCTTCTGTGTCTGAATTGATTTTAGAGAAACTACAATAAAATATTTCCGAGAGTGAAAATTATATAATGACCAATTCAGATATTTTTCATTCTGTCAGAATTGCTACAGTACTTTAGAGAAATTGGGTTAGCTGGAAATCTGCTGGAAAAAGTAGCCATCGCACAAGAGCGCCTTTGAATTTTCCAGTGATGGTCATATTTTGATTTTAAGGTGATAATCTTTTGAAAGTACCATTTTATGGATGCACAGTATAGTTTATATTTTTGTAAGTCCAGTAGTTATTGCTAGCAAGGAAGTCAAGTTTGACAGCGTATTGTGAAGCTTATGCTGGGGTGAGATGTGACTGAACTAAACCAAGATATACCACGTTTGGTGTGAGGATTTCGGAAAAATCAGTAGACTTTGGATCTGACCACGGGCTGTTTTTCTGCAACTTGCCAAAAATCCTTGTACTTTATTTCAAAACATTCCCTTGGGTTAGGGCTCCCTCTTGTGGTGTTCACTAGGTTCGCAAAATAGCCTTGCACTGCTTTTAAAAAACGAATATTCCTTGTAGTGGCAATATTTTTTTGAAGTTAGTTATGAAATACCTGTGCAAGTTTTGAACGCTGATAGTGCTGCCAGAAGCACTCAAGTTCAGAAAATGTTTGTATCTCTGCAATGCTGCACAGCCTTCACCTGTGGTTTGCTTACCGCTTTGCAAATGTTATCAAATGGGAGAATTTGTATTGCTTTAAAACACTTCAATTTTGCTAGATGTATCAATTACAGATACAGTCTGAGGTACTTCAATTTAACTTTAAGGGTTTTTACACTGTAGACTGTTGCATTAGTTGTGCCATATAGAAAAATAGAAAATATACACCGCCAATTTATGGAACCAGGCAGAAAGCCCATACCTGGCTCCAGTATAAGCATTCTGACCTAATATGTGTTCAACTAAACCCAGAAATACTTGTGACAACTGCTTGTTCACTTTTGCTGTTGTTGGACACAACCACCAGGTGGGGGTAAAATGTAATGAAACAGCCATGAATAAGAAAGTTGAAAAATTACCGAGTATATCATCTGTTTGCCAAAGACTGAGAGATGTTTAATTTTTATTTTTTATTAACTTGTTTTATGGGGGATAGTCTTAGGTCTCTAAAAATGAAAAAAATAAAATTAAACTATTCTGATAGACTACTTAAAACTTTTATATTATGTTGATATTTGCAAGTCTCTCCCATGCAATTTTATGATTCAGTCAATGTAGTAGGATATAATTATTTTTGAGTCTATTTTAATTTGATTTCTGAATTATCAAATTAGGATAAGAAATACTGTAGGGGCAGAAGAGGGCTGTATATGCTCTTTACTTTGAGGAAAGTGTATATGTATGTCAGCAGCACTACAGCACTGGCCTTACCTCTCAGAACTTTACATGCATGTTGTAGCTCTGTAATTTAATATTCTGTAAATATGGTTCCTATCAGCTGCTAATGTATTAATTTCTGGATTTTCACTTAAAAATCACCCTGGATGTGTACTACTCTCTCTTCCCTTAAAATGTTCTGTGCATATTATGTAGCTTCTAAGTACTGTGTTACATTGTGGACACGGAATAGATGTGTTTGACATTGTAGACAGGCAATAGAGCTGCTGAAATTAGGACAACCAGTTGTTCAGCTTTGCATTAGGTAACTGAATGCACTATTTTTCTGCAGTTAGAGAAAATGGGTGAAATAAGACCCCCAGCCCCATCTAATAGTGTTTCTACTCCAACACTGGTGTCTTAATTTTCGGGGGGGGGTGGGGGGGATGGGTGGTGGTGGTGGAAGACCAAAAATATGCAGAGTGCTTAAGTTAATGTATCCCTAGTAAGGGCTGTTAATGACATTCTTGCTGATGTTGCTATGCCTGAATGTTTCTTGAATGGTAACAGGAGCTTCCTGGCTAAACAAATTCAAAAGGAAAAATCCCCCTCTTTGTTAAAGGGAGTTTAGCCACCTTTAGGCAGTCTGTTTACTTTAGCAATTGAGTATTATATTTCATACATATTTTGTAATTTTCCTGTTTTGTTTTCTGTAGCTTATTTGGCTAACTTTGGTTCCTGGTATCCTGGTGCTATCAACTGCAGAAATAGATTTGTCCCCCTCTGCTTCCTTCTTCCCCTCATGTTTTTATTTCTCCTTGAAATTTAAATAATTTCATTTAGGGAAAGAAGAAGTGTATATGGTGAAATCGTTGTGGTTTTTTTTAAGGGGTGTAGGTGAAGATAACTGCTAACTATTTTATACTTGGAACTAAATATGGGAATTTCTCTCAATAATGAATTCCCCAGACATGCAGTAAATGTCTCTGTCCATTTTGGAAAGAACAGGGAATGAACATTTCAAAGAAGGAAATGAACAAGCCTGTATATGAGAATAAAGAAATTAACAAAGCTGTTAGCTCAAATTTTCTTATTATGGGGGATGTTCTTTTTTGTATTTCAGGTGATATGATATAGTCCTGCAGAATTGTAGAAATGTGTGTTTTGGGGAGGGTGGGGACTAAGCCTGTTTTCCTCAACTACAAGATGAAAAGTATGTTTTCAGGGTGCAGAACATGTGATGCTAGTTAAACCTGCCAGCTACTAAGTTGCAGGTAAGCTTTTATAGTGAAGAAACACTGCATCCTGCACAACTTTTGATAGGATGGTGATGAATTCATGCTTAGGCACCAGAAACGCTGTTCAGAAAGTGTTCAACTTAGAAAATTGTAATGGAGCAGAGACCCTTAATGGAAATCACAGGATCAGTTTTCACTTCAGATTGCTTTCTAAACCTTTTCCCTTCCTGCAGATATCACATGTGTCTTACAGATGTCCTAGTTTTAGTCAGTTGTTGATTTTTCACCTAGATCACAGAATGGTTGAGGTTGGAAGGGACCTCTGGAAATCGTCTAGTTTTCGCCCCCTGGTCAAAGCAGGGTCAGTTAGAGACAGCTGCTCAAGGCAGTGCCCATTCGGGTCTGAATCTGTGGAAGGATGGAGATTACAAAAGCTCTATGGGCAACCTGTTGCAGTGTTTGACTATGATCACAGTGGAAAAAGTTTGGGTTGGTTTGTTTTTGTTGTGGTTTTCTTCTCCTTCCCCCCACTTATGTTTAAGTAGACTTTCTGATTTTTCAATTTGTGCTTCTCCATTCACTGGATACCGCTGTGAAGAGTCTGACTATTTTCCTTTCCCCCTTATACATCAGATATTTATGTACATTTGATAAAATCTCTAAGTCCTCTCTTTTCAAGGGTAAACAATTGCAGCTTTCATGGCCTCTCCTTGTATGACAGGTGCTCTGATCTGTTTATCTTCGTGGTTCTTTGGACTCGCTCCAGCATGGCCTTGTCTGTCTAGTACAGAGGAGCCCACAGCTGGACACAGTGCTCCAGATGTGTGCCACCAGCACTGAGTAGAGAGGAAGGACCACCTCCCTCAGCTGCTGGCAACACTTCTTCTAATGCAGCCCAGGATGCTCTTGGCCACCTTTGCAGCGACACGTTGCCTGCTCAGGTTCAACATAGTGTCTGACAGAACCTCGAAGGCCTTTTCTGCAAAGCTACTTTTGGGACAATTGGTCCCCAGTGTGCTGTGTGACCATTTGTCCAGCCTGTTTGAGGTTCACCTGAGTGGAAGGCCGCTGCTGCTCCTCATCTTGTATCTCCAGCAAACTTGCTGAGGATGCCTGCTCTCCCATCATCCAGGTCATTAATGAAGATGTTAATCCCAATATTGACCCCCTGGAGTATGCCACTGGTGACTGGCTTCCAACCTGACTTTGTACCACTGGTCACAACCCTTTGAACCCAGATGCTCAGCCAATTTCCAGTCTATCTCAGAGTCTACTTCCCTAGCCCATACTTCATTAGACGATGAGGAGCTTAATGAGAGATGATGTTGAAAGCCTTACTGAAGTTGAGATAGAGGTCCATTGCTCTCTTCTTTCACACCGAGCCAGTCATCTCATTGTGGAAGGCTGCTGTTGCTGTCACTGTGACACCTTTGTCTAATTTGGAGGTGATAATGGCATTTGTGTGCTGCTCATGTTAAAATCCATGGTTTGGCAAAGTTTCTTTTGAGGGAAAAATATGGGAAGAAGTGGTTACTCAGAACTGAATTTTGTGCTGGTAGTAGTAAAATACTTTTTGTCCTGAGAACTTTAGAAATGGTTATCTAAAGAGCCTTCAGTGGGGCATTGTGGAAGCATCCACCTGAGTTTGCAGTCTGTCTCCCCAGATTCCAGACATTTGCTTCTGTTTAAGTTGATATCCAATTTTTGTTTGAAGATCATTATGCAGAAAAGTAGGTATTTTTAAACAATGGCTTGTAAAAAATTATGTAGCCATAAAAGTCTGGCTTCTGTTAGCACTTGTATGTATACTATGCTGTTATATGTAAGGGAATAAAATGTAATATCTAAATTTTAAAGCTGCAGAACCTATAATGTAAACTTTTTCTTGTTTATTGCAGGTTTATGGAATCTTGCTTCTCTTTTTTCGAATTTATGTTTGTTTGTGTTGATGCCCTTTGCTTTTTTCTTCCTGGAATCGGAAGGATTTGCTGGTTTAAAAAAGGTAGGAAAATATTATTAAATACAGAGTAATAAACATTATGTATTCCATTTTCAGCCCTCGTTTCTGATGAAACAAACTACAAATTTGGGAGGATTTGGTGCTGGAATGCATATGCTTATGTGAATGTATGTAAATGGATGTGTGCTCTTGCACAGGCAGGTGAAGTAAGTATACGGCGTGTGGCTGCCAGTAAGCTTAAGGGGGGGAAAAAGAGTCCTTGAAAAGCCATGTGTACTGAGATCAAGCATACGACTAAACTTTTATTATTATTATTATTATTTTGTATAATTGTTTTAATCAAGATTATTTTTTTAAAATGATTATGTTGGGGTGCTAAAAGGAGAGAAGGTTCAATAAATGCACCAGAAATAAAGTAACAAGGGAAAGAAGTACGGGCTTCTTAGTAATGGAAGGGTGATTAAATAACAGATGACCCAGAGAAAATAAGCTTGATTTGTGAATTTTAAAGATAGCAGACATCCCAAAAAAGGTTCAAGTGTGGTCAGTATTAATAATATGTTAAGAAAACTGTCTTAAATGGGTAGAGAATAACTAAACATATTCAACTTGGTTGAATGTGTTCAAGATGAGAGGGCCGAGTATTTCAGAGAAGTGTGAAATCTGGCAAAGCAATTTCTGAACAATAAGATGATAACAATTATATTAATATACGAACTAAAGAAATATAATGAAAAATTACTATAATGGGAGGCACAGCAAAATGAGTTTCAAATCGTAAATATCAAAAAATTAAGCTGCGATGACTGTCTGGGGACCAATTGTAGCACATTTTCATTAATCTTTATCATCCAAATGATTACACTTTTGTTTTTAATGATACTACACTTGAGGGAATTCTGTGCCCTTTGGATGACAATTATTGGAAAGTAAAGGATCTTGAAAAGTTGCCTGAAATCAGGAAAATGAAATGCGTTACAGATGGATGCAAAAGACTTTAAGTCATTGGTGGATCACACGTAATGTAAATCAATGAAGGGATGATGGTGGTGGAAAGGAAAACATAATTCCTGGTTCCATTGAGAATTGGCATGGAGGCGATGAAGTTGGCATTTTTGTTCTTGATGGAATTGGGGAAAACTCAACTGGAGCACTGCATTCAATTTGGGGTTTTAGGGTTCCTACAGACACTGAGAGAAAACAGCAGACGGCAAAAAAAAAAAGCCAAAAAACTTAAAAAGTACAGCAGGAAGGAAACTTTTAATTCAGAAAGAATAATGTGAAGAAACAGATTTTATTCTTTAGCTGAAGCTACTGGGAGATTACATAGGCTGAGCAATGTAGCTGTGTCAGTAGGGACCTGCAGGACCTGACCAAGATGTTGTGTAAATACTTGTTTGGTGTAGCCTGTTCTGAGCTCCTTGATGCTACTGCAAGTGTTCCTTTGTATTGATCCAACTGTGGATGTATCCAAGTAAACTTCAGTTACAAGTTTGAATGAGAGTTCAACTTCAAAGGAGCTTGGTGGTGGGCTGCTGCGTTTAACTCTGCTTATCCAACTTGGCTGGAAAACACTCGTCTCTCCTCATCTTCCTTCAGGTATTTATAGGGCCAAGACAACTTCTAGCAACTCATTTTGTCTTTTCAGGTGGAGGCCTTTTGACTCTTAAGTATCTAGCCACAGCTGGTGTATATCTCTTCCTCTAAAAAAGAAAGAAGTTAATTGATTTTTCATAGGTTTGTGTATCCTGCAGTCCAACTGAGACCAAGGATTCTCTGCATTAGTGTACCATGTGTGGTACTGCTGGCCTGTCCCCTGGACTTAGAGGTTTCTGTTGGCTCCAAGAGATGTGCCGTGTATCCCACAGTCCTTAAACTTGCACTCTACATAAAACTTTTAAGTTTTAATACCAGCTATCAATAAATCCCATTCAGGATAAATTGAATTACATGTTTCCACTTGGAAGCTTTTGTAATTCCAGATGAGATACAACATCTGTCTGCAGGTGTTAGGAAAAAGACAGTTCTTGGTGCTTTAGTTTTACTTCTTCATGGGGGTAGATGAGATCAGATTTTAGTATCAAACCCCACCTATTGGGGGAGGAACAATCCCAGTTTTTGGGATGTTTTATTGCTTTGACTTCTGGATGTTTTTGGTACAGCCAGAAGCCAAATGTGACTCCTAGTACAGGTACTCAAGGCTTTTGTCCAGTGTCTGTTCTACCTGGCTGCTCTATTTAAATTTATCCAAAATAGATGCAGACAGATACTGAATTATTTTACCAGCTTTGAGTGAGCCCTAAAGCTATTGGTGACGATGTAGGAATTGTCATCCATTTTTATATGAAGGTACCATGTCTTTGGTTACTTTTCTTACAAATTAAGTGCCATGGGTCACTTCTGGACTAAGTTGATAGTTTTGTTCAGATTCTGATGCACATAAATGATTCTACTTAGAATAATATGTATATTTTTAAGAGTTACATCACATAATAGGGTGATAGGAATTGGGGAAATTTATGGTTAATTGAACTCAGGATTATGTGTAAGCTTTTCTGTTCTAGAAACTTACTTTCTTCATTTTTCACTTTCCTTAAGTTTTTGGCACGTTGCTTATCTCTTCTCAGAGAAGATTTTGAGACTATGATTACTTCGTAGGATTCTTTTATTCGAACGAATTATTTTGGTTTGGTTATACTTGATAGTGTTTTTGGTAGTATTACAAGTATTTTTTAAGAAGTGCTCTCTTTTGTCATTCATCACATCAGACTAGTGGGCCAGAGATAAAACACCATTCAAATACTATTACTGTTAACTGGCAAAATCAGATTTTAGTGATCTTAATTTGAAATAACATTCCATATATTTGGCAAAACTTGAAGCATTTAAGAGAAGAGTGATCTACAGTAAATGTGAAGATGTTCAATAAGGAGGTTTGGCACAGGATGTGTAATCTTTAACGTTCCATTGCGAGTTGCATACAAGGAGTAGGGAACACAGTTGATTCTAGATATGTACCTCAGCTCAAAATTTGGATAAATAGACTGTTCCAGTGGAAGCGTTTATGCAGACTGCCTTGAATTTGTTATAGAGCTACTTTCATTTTAATGAATAAATAGGTTACTTGATTTAGGTGTGCACAGTCAAGATGTCTATTTGAAGGTGTTCATGTAAAAGTTACTTGTTGGATTTTAATAGAAGTTCTGAAAATGAGTGTTTAAGAGGTTCAGATCTGAAATTGAATGGATTTTTTTCATTTTTAATGGATTTCTTTTTTCATTTTAAATTGCGACAGTAATGTTAGTCATTATCACACATGGGCCTAACCCCCAAAGTTTTTAGCCATCTGTTTGAGTGTTTATAATGGATTATGCTGTAAAAGTTGATCTTATGTATTCACTGTGATGGGAACTTTTTGCAAGTGATGATATTCCATATAGCTCATAGGTTACTATGACAAAATTTGTGTAACTTCTCTTTCCATGTTCTTGTAAGGAAGCATTGCCTCCTTAACTGCTTCATGGTTCAGAATGGGTTTGATTAACCATCTTCCAATTTACTATGGCTTTTTTTTTCTTGGTTGCTAGTATACTTTCTAAAGGGCACATGGCCCCTCTTATAGACTCTTTTTGATTCCCCAGGGCAACAGTTTAAAACAACCAAGGACTTGAATATTGTGCAGAGGAGAGAAACAAGGAAATTAGACGCTCACCATGGACGGATGCAGTGTAGTACTGAAAATCAAACTGATTCTCTGCCTTGTTTTTAATTAAAACCACTATGTTAATTCAAATAGGGTATTTTGGGCCTAAGGGGGCTGACCATGCCCTTTTAAAGAGCTTAAGTGCTCTTCCTTGCTACAGTTTATTTCCATTTATTGGCAGCTGCAGTCTTCTGTTATCAGGAAAACAATTATAAAAGTAATAGTGAAGGTATATAATATATGTATATCTTTGTATATATACGTGTACATGCCACGTGTGTATTTATGCACACATGTATTTTCATGCTCATCTGTGAACTAAGTTTTTTGAGACTGTTGAAGTAGTTAGAGCCCGTTGTGATGTATGTTATACTTGGCTGGTGCTATTAACTGAGCTATTGGAATGCCTGCAGTAACTTTAATCTCCTGCATTGATATTAAAAACGTTTTCATATCTATCCTCTTTTCTTCCTTTGTAGAGTCTGTACATAAAGTTTTATTTCTTGTTTAGATACTTTTCCAGTTCTTCGTCACTGGCCTTCTCAAATTGTGTAGTACAGTTATGAAACAAAGGTGTCAGCCATGTTTCTTAATGTCAGAATTAACCTCATTCTTTATCCTTCTCTCCAAAAAAGGAAAATTGTGGTGTTTGCAGTTGAGCATCTGTAGTTCACAGCACTGATGTTTCCGTGTGCGATAACTGACTGCACAGAAAATTACATGTGTGCTGCTGTGTGGAGGCAGGCATTTTTTGAGGAGATAATTGCTATATCTTTTTTTTGACCTTTAAAATATGCTTTCTCTTGATGTAACTTCAACTGAAATTTGTATTTGTTTGAAGTTGACAAAGATAAAGACGTTTAGGAGTAATTTCCTTGTAAGAAAATACAAATAGTGCAATTTACTGCCGTGAGAAACTGGAAGAACTGGGTATTGCATAATCACGAGGGTAGAGTTTTAAAAAGGCTTTATGAAGTATTTTACCTTAATACTGATCTTTGAACTTGAAGTCATGGCATAAAGTTTAACATGAGCGACAGCAACATCCTGACCAATTATCCAAATTATCCAGACATCCCAAAATGTTCAGAACACAACACACAGAGTCTGTGGATTAAGAGGTTAACTCCTGGAACATCAAAAGAAGTGCATGATAATAAAAACAAATAGTACAAAAATTTGAGGTAACTTCCTTGCTTAATTAATTAGGTAGACCAGGTGGAAGCGAAGAGGCCAGAGCTGGTGCTCAGAATGTCTATAAAGCTGAGCAACATGACAGCACAATGGAGGAGGAACAAAGATTTTTTTAATATACTTCTATCCTGTGTCACAGTTTGAA